TCTGAGCAAGCACCAAGCATGCTGCCACGGGAATGTGAAATTCACAGAGAAATCCCCGGATTCCCCTGCTGATATGACCGCTACAGCAATGGGCAAACCTCCACTCACTCCATTCCTGCTAAATAGGTGAAAATAGATTTAAGAGCGACAGGACTTAGTGCAGCTGAGTCTTTGATTTTATTTATTTTCTGCTGTGTTTTACTTACATCTATTTGAAAGCGTGAGTGTTAACACAACAAATTATTTTAATTTATTTTATTTTATATGCTGGAATATGCAGAAAATAGGTTTAAATGTTAAACAAATTTCTTCAAGTCAAAGGCTGTGGCATATAATTTAATTTTTGCTTGATGGATAAAGTTAACCCTTGTGTGGTGTTCATATTTTTGCTACTCAGCCAGTGTTCATGGGTCTGGTGGACCCGCTAGAGTTTTGGCTTTCCAAATTAACACTATCAAACAATTTTATGTTAAATTACTAAACAGATGTTTACTTCATCCCAATTACAAGACATATGAACAGCAAACATAGTTAATTTTTTTCCTTTACCTTTGTTAGATCACATTTAAGAATTAAAACATTAAAAATAATAAAATAATAATAGAGACTTTTACAGTCAGGTTCATAAATATTGGGACATTGACACAATTCTAACATTTTTGGCTCTATACACCACCACAATGGATTCCAAATGAAACGAACAAGATGTGCTTTAACTGCAGAAAGCTTTTATTTGAGGGTATTTACATCCAAATCAGGTGAACGGTGTAGGAATTACAACAGTTGTCAAATGTGCCTCCCACTTCTTATTTATGGACCTGGCTGATTACATTTTATATGATGCATTATGCAGGAAAAAATAGAATTGGGCTGAAAGGTCTATTGTTTTATTACCTATTCAGTAACTAAGTAACTAATGACTTTTAAAAATAATTAATCAGTAAAGTAAAGGGATTACTTTTTTGGAGAACTAATCAGTAATTAGTTACCAATTACTTTTTTCAAGTAACTTGACAACACTGGTTACAAGCCTCAAAGAAGTCAACATATTGTAATTATGGCAGGTCAAAAAATCCCAGCTAATAAGAATCTGCCTATCCTATTGGGAAGTCTTGTCTCTCACTCGGAAAACAAAAGATTTGAAAATACAAAGTGTCTCACCTTGTGTTCTTCATTGTAGAAGCGTGGCTTCTTAGTAATGTTGTTTTCAACTTTTTTACCACCACTAAAGAGTAAAAACCAAGAAGAATGCATAACAGAAAAATACTTAACTGGTGGAAAATGCAGCTTGGTTTATTAATAGATACTTACTTCGCCAAAGAATGATAATCAACAGTGGTGTTGTGTTCTGGGTAACAAAGGGGAAAAGAATCAGTACTGATAATCTGTTATGACAAGTAGTTTATAAAGATTTGTTTTCTTGCAATTGTGCCTAACAACAAACCCTAACCCTAATTGTAACAGTGTGTTCTCATGTGATATGCAATAATGCAGCATTGTCTTGTAATGCCTGTGTTCATCCCACAAGTACAAAACTACTTGCAGGTAACATCAGACCTAAGCTGGACTTAGCACCATAACCACAGTGGAAAAAAGCCCAGCAAAGGCTCTATTTCATTAGCCTGCTCAGGAAAGCCAGCCTGAACCATTGCCCTCTCACACAGGACTACAGAGGACTGATCGAGAGCATCCTCATTGCAGGGATCACTGTTTGGTATAGCAACATCACGCGACCAGAACGGAAGGCTCTGCAAAGAGTCATAAAGACTGAGGAGAGCATCAAAGGGACAAAACGTCCATCCATGATCTCTATGTACACACGGTGCTACTGGAAAAGAGCAGAGGGAATTATAAGGGTCTCGTTCCATACAGCTCGTTTCTGCTCAGACACAAGAACTGCACAGACAACCTAAGACACAGCAGAGCAGACAGCATTATCACTCATATAAACCACTGAACAATGTGCAATAATAACCCCACACTACACTAAAAAAGTAAATTGTGTGGTTGTTACATATACAAAAGCCTAACTTGTAATTTGCACAAAAAATTTCATGTTTCTCCGGTGAACATAATTAAATCATGTAGGATCTGTATGAAATTCAACAACTTAATTTGTTCTTCTATTTAGTAAGAGTGGTTAGTTGCCAGAACTCTTGAAATTCACAAGATCACACGAGATTTCAAACCACATAAAAATCACTGGGGTTATAAGAGGCAGACAACTATACACACACCTATTGCTATTGCTATTTATTGTGGTTTAACCTGTCAAGGACAATCGTAGCTTTCCACCTTTTGTTAGGCCTGAATTGACAGCTTGGTTGCGTGGTGGTTCCAACTGTTTCCTCACAGCAAGAAAGTCCTGGGTTTAAATCCAAGAAGTTGTTGTAAATCTATTAAATTTTTATGTTTTATGTTAACATGAAGACAACATGTAGTATTTAAGTGACCAAGTAATATTGGGGTAAAAGTTATTGAATAGTGTTGGGATAAAGTGACAAAATTGTGAATGATTAAAATTTTCCAAGAGCTTAACTTACTTCATCTAAATATGTTTAAATCACATTTTATCAACACAAAATGCACAGTCTTAATGAATATGAATAAGTTGTGTTGATTCAACTCAGCGTGCAACATCTGCAATATAATTGTGTATATACCACCACCCCTCATGTAAAGGGTGTATAATTTATAATTTGTATTAGTATTGATTTGATATACCTTTATACCTTTATTAGTCCCACAAGGGGAAATTTCATAAGGCTGCTGACCTATTGCACGCAATGGCGGCGCCATCTTACCCTCCGACCATACATACATTACACAAAAAATTACATGGGGAAGACAGGCCCAGACTGAGCTCCAACAGGGAGATCAGTTTGAGAACAGAAAAAAAACACCTCTGCACATAGCACATGAAAAAACTCTTAATACACCAAAGAAACACATGACAAGCAACAGGGGTGGGTAAAGGGTGAGAGACAGCCGAATTAGACAGTACATCCGGGCCTGCAGCCTGTGCGCTGGTCTCCTTGATCCACCGTCAGCATCGGAAGGGAATAAGCGTCGAAGGCGTTTGGAGGGGGGATGAGTGTATGTCTGCATGTGTATATATGTCTGTGTGCGTGTGTGTGTGTATGTGTCCAGAGTTCAGCTGAGACAGTGTCCTTCGCCCTGCCAGGCTAAGTAAACAGTCTTCCAGCCAACCCAGGTGGCCTTGCATAGAATGGGAAGAACAGTCTAAACACAGTCGTTATCAGGGTGTTGTTGTTCAGCTCCAGCCTTGAGACCGCAGCTGGCGCCAAAGGGGTATCCGCATGAAGTGATGGTGGTTTTTACTTTAGTGCGAACAACTCATATGAATTTCAAAGCTGTTCTAACAGTCCAACACTGGTCTGTCAATCTCCCGTTGGAGAGCCGTGAGCTTCCCATGATGTTATCAAACTTGCGCTCTGTGATGTTGTCATTCTTGTGCTCAAAGAGCCGATTCTGAGAACTCACGACCACAGTGAGCCTCCCCAAGATGTCATCCAATTTGCGCTCAGAGATGTTATTCCGAGCGAGCCCTTCCAAGATGTAATCCAGTCTGCACTCAGAGATCTTATTCTGAGTATTCACGGCAGCCGTAAGCCTTTCCAAGATCTTATCCGTGCTGCACTCAATGAGCCCATTTTGAGAAACTCACGCCTCTTCCCATCGTTTCAATCCCAGCGGGCAGCCTTGTGGGGGTTTGAACAGCCGGTTCCGCTTTCTTAATTCTTCGATAAGTCAGGGCCAAGCCAGCTCCGATCAGCCAGAACCCTGTTACCATGGTTCCGAATAGGTAGATATCTTCAGCACTCAGGCTCACCCAAGCCCAAACTTCTCGTTGAGAAAGGGGTGTCAATTGCATTCAGAGACCAGTTGATCAAATCCATAATTCCCTTTAGGTTTTAGAGAACAGACTGTGAGAGAGTGTTCCAGGGAAAAGTAATACAAAAAACACGAGACTAGACAAGGACATAAGAGGCTAAGCAGGGAAGCTAAGGGAGAGGAGGAGGAGAGGAGAAAAGTGCGACCGCCTTCGTCAAGAGCAAGAGCAGAACATTGTATTGTCTTGTTTATTTTTGTCTGTTTTTTTCTAACATGCTTACTATGACTGAGAGCTCTGCACAAGAATTCCAATGTGATTAGACTGCTGGTTTATGAACAAATGGCAAATAAAGAACCGTGAACCTATTTTTAGTTTAGGCACTGAACACAACCTGGTTAGGAAAAAATTGTGGTTCTAATTAAAGCACACATGAGAAACAATAACCTTGGTTATTCACAAATGACACGTTGAGTAGGGCCCTGTGTTGTTTTTACGTTTGTTTTGGTGTGTGTGTGGGGTGTGTGTGTGTGTGTGTGTGTGTTTGTACAGTGTGTGTGTGTGTGTGGTGTGTGTGTGGGTGGGGGGTGATGTGGGGGGGTTTGTTCATAACCATATTAAAAACTCACGTTTTGCTGAAGTTGTCTCCTTGTGTCCTGCGTTTGGGTCCTCACCCTTGCACTCTGCACCCACTGACAGCACCTTAACAAACCATTTGTAACGACCCATCATAAAGGGAAGCTGCAAGATTGAAGAGATTTAATGAACAGCTGCAACAGAAACTGGGTGGTGCCCAGGATATTTAGCAAAGTCCAATATACATTTGAATATGTCTACCTAGTGCATTTGACTCTGTCTGGGCACAGAAGGAAATTTACACTAATCTGATAGAAGTCAAGAAAACTTACTCTACCAGTGAAATACCTGCATTGCGGGCGCCAGATGTTCAACATTTGAACTTTGGAATGGGTAATGTTTTTGGATGTCATGTAGACGTCTATGATAGGTGCAGGCAATTTACATTATTAATAAATGTATTTTTTTAAACAATCATTGACTTTTTGGAAGCAAGAGAAACAACAACAAATCAGCACAGCCAGTTACAAAAAGAAAAACACAGGTACATGAGTTACAAATGTACACATCTGGACCAAATGGATTTGCAGTTTTAGATTTTTAGTCATATATTGGTCTGTAATAAACAATGATGATGAAGCACAATCGTAGAGATCTGCAACAGCACAAATCACTGTCATGAAGTTTGTTTTTCTCCCTCTGTCAGATTTCTAACACAGCACTGAAATGTCTGTCAAAATACGACAATTAATGGTGTCTGAATATTACAGTATATATTTCTGATTAACAGGTGCCAAACACTGAATGGTATACAGAAATAAAACAACAGCAATAATGGACATTTAGGCATGTGACATGGTTACTGCATAACTTTAATATCCAGATGAGTCAGGATCTGAGGGTAAATGTTTTGTGCTCTTCTGCACATTGTGCAGGTCAGGTGCAACACAGATTTCAGGTTTACACAGTGGAATGGTTTGTAATAAAGCTGCTTTTCCTCTGGATAGCTATTGGAGCTATTGGATGCAACTCTGAGATTAACTCTGTCAAAAGCTGTAGACTTCAAAATTATAATATAGGAGGAAGAGAGAAGGCATCCAAAAGTAAATTTAAAACAAATAAGTAATAAGAACATCACTAGTATGCACTACTTTTCTCAAACAAGATCAAGAATCAACAGCAGTAGAATTTACAGCATCAGAGCATCACATGACACCCCCCGCTTCCTGCTTCCTGGGAGTCAGGACTATTTTTCTCCCGCTTGTTCTGCAGCAAAACTGGCCTGCACAAGCACATCCTCCAACAACACACACCCATATTTTCTTTTCAAACTCCATTGCGGTTTATTTCACACCTCAAATATTTAGCAAACAATTAAACAAATAGAAGTAAACTGCAATAAATTACAGGTAGTAATAAAATGCACTACTAACTCTTTTACGCTACAGTGGCTTGCAAAAAGTATTCGGCCCCCTTGAACTTTTCCACATTTTGTCACATTACAGCCACAAACATGAATCAATTTTTTGGGAATTCCACGTGAAAGACCAATACAAAGTGGTGTACACGTGAGAAGTGGAACAAAAGGCTACAAAAAGATTTCCCAAGCCTTGAACATCCCACGGAGCACTGTTCAAGCGATCATTCGGAAATGGAAGGAGTATGGCACAACTGTAAAACCTACCAAGACAAGGCCGTCCACCTGAACTCGCAGGCCGAACAAGGAGAGCGCTGATCAGAAATGCGGCCAAGAGGCCCATGGTGACTCTGGACGAGCTGCAGAGATCTACAGCTCAGGTGGGGGAATCTGTCCATAGGACAACTATTAGTCGTGCACTGCACTAAGTTGGCCAATATGGAAGAGTGGCAAGAAGAAAGCCATTGTTAACAGAAAACCATAAGAAGTCCCGTTTGCAGTTTGCCACAAGCCATGTGGGGGACACAGCAAACATGTGGAAGAAGGTGCTCTGGTCAGATGAGACCAAAATGGAACTTTTTGGCCAAAATGCAAAACGCTATGTGTGGCGGAAAACTAACACTGCACATCACTCTGAACACACCATCCCCACTGTCAAATATGGTGGTGGCAGCATCATGCTCTGGGGGTGCTTCTCTTCAGCAGGGACAGGGAAGCTGGTCAGAGTTGATGGGAAGATGGATGGAGCCAAATACAGGGCAATCTTGGAAGAAAACCTCTTGGAGTCTGCAAAAGACTTGAGACTGGGGCGGAGGTTCACCTTCCAGCAGGACAACGACCCTAAACATAAAGCCAGGGCAACAATGGAATGGTTTAAAACAAAACATATCCATGTGTTAGAATGGCCCAGTCAAAGTCCAGATCTAAATCCAATCGAGAATCTGTGGCAAGATCTGAAAACTGCTGTTCACAAACGCTGTCCATCTAATCTGACTGAGCTGGAGCTGTTTTGCAAAGAAGAATGGGCAAGAATTTCAGTCTGTAGATGTGCAAAGCTGGTAGAGACAGACCCTAAAAGACTGGCAGCTGTAATTGCAGCAAAAGGTGGTTCTACAAAGTATTGACTCAGGGGGCTGAATAATTACGCACACCCCACTTTGCAGTTATTTATTTGTAAAATGTTTGGAATCATGTATGATTTTCGTTCCACTTCTCACGTGTACACCACTTTGTGTTGGTCTTTCACGTGGAATTCCAATAAAATTGATTCATGTTTGTGGCTGTAATGTGACAAAATGTGGAAAAGTTCAAGGGGGCCGAATACTTTTGCAAGCCACTGTATGTCCACACCTACATGGGTATTTTTGAAAATGCAGCTATTTCTATGCGTTTGGGCCTTGTGTCTACAAGTAAACGGCGTTTCGAATCACCGAAAACTGAGATTTTGTTTTAAACTGTTTTTGCGTTTCTGTGTGGACGAGGAATACAGAGTTCGGCACGCAACGTCAAAGGTATGTGCCTTTTTTCACGCCACGTTGTGTGCCACGTTGTGTGTGTGTGCCATGTTATTGTTTACATGAGATTAATTTCTACAATGGAAGATAGAGGAAAAAATACTGTTACTGTTAATATTACTATCTTCCATTTTTACACGCTTACATATACACACACGCAGTTACTGTCCCTCCATTTAGAAAGGCAGAGGCGTCACGGTGTAATTATTTTATGTGTAGTTGTTTTTTTCCCCCTGCGTAATAATATTCAACATTGCTAGCAATACATTTTTCAAAAAATGCTTCTCTGTGCAAAATGGGTTTAAAAACATAAACAATTGTGGGATGCTGTTTGTCCGTGATTTGAACCGGGGGAACAAATTACAGCAGGATCAGCCTGATATTATTTATATCCCACTTTAACTTTACTGTATAAAGAGCTAACATCTCCAAAATGTCAGGAGTAGTTAGTCGTCACAAGAAGTGTTTGTGAACTAAAAATCAAGAATGTGGGATACAGTTTGTCCGTGATTTGGAGAGCCCAGCGCTGCTCCCGGCGCAGGGAAAACCAATTCTGCAGGGAAGACCTACCTTCGCACTTGTGCAGGTGAAGCTAAAGAGAAGATATGCCTCACTATATTTTCTAGTCTTTGGCTTGGAAGGAAGTTGGTTTGGAAACATATTTGCCGATGCTTCAACTCCCTCTTTTGCGTTTGTGTGGGTGCCTCATCAAAAACCTGTCCATTATGCTAGCAGTATCCAAGCATTTTTTTCTTCCATACAGTGCCCCCCCTGCAATGGCTGTGCGCCCCCTGTAGGGGGCGGGCCCCACACTTTGGGAACCTCTGAGTTAACTTAACATGTATGTTTTGGACTGTAGGAGGAAGTCTAATCACCCAGAGAACTTACAAATAAAATCTTGTAGGAGACCATGGAAACCTGGTAGAACAAGCAAAGCAGGCTTGGGGAATAATTTCAGAAGGAGAACATGCTTCATGAATTTCACATCAAGTTTGACTGTGCGATTTTTAGTAAAATCTTATGGGTGGACAGTTAAGGCCTTTACACACCGATCACTTTCATACTGTTAAAAAAAAATCAAGTGATGATGAGTTGGTCATTATGTTTTTTGAATAAGAAAAGGAAGAAACTGAGAGCATGGTTTGATCCAGGAGTTGAAGTTGCATCAGGACAGTTTTTGTACATATATCAGGATGTAAGTTGGGCACTTTGAGCTCTTGTTGCCAAAACTGGGGCAACATTTAATGAGCCGAATGACCTGAAGAAGCAACTAGCTGTGTCTCCAAGATAAAATATTGTTATTTTACTATTTACATATCTTTGAATATTCAGTACCACTGCATGTTTTGAGCTACGAACAAATGTGTTGCAGTGGTCTGAATGGTCAGATCTGAAAATGACTAAACTTATCTACCTAAGCGCATTTGGTGTCCAAAAAAATATCCATTCACACAAATATTTGGTGTCCTTTGTACAGAGCCTTTTAAAGTTCAAAGTGGTTTTAACATTAGGAAGAAGTTACAAATATTTCTGAACCCCTACAGAATGTACTTAGAAAACTCAAATACACATTTCAATATATCGAGTGTTGTTTGAGAAAAGTAACTGTCACTAATCTGATTAAAGTATAGTTAAAAGGTTTTAGCGAACTCATCTTGAACAAAAAATTATATACAATGTAGAAATATGAAAGCAACTAGAATATTAAATAAAAAACTTCTTATATGAGCCCCCCCCCCGCTTCATAATATCATGATGAATGTTACTGTGTAAGTATGTGTTAATTACCTTGGCCATGGTGATGGACTTCAGTCTGCACAAAAAGGATGTCTCTGTTGCTGATGTCAAGTTCTGACTGCTATGTACATCAAACTCTCCTCCTTATATTAAGATGTATTTGTTGTTCATGCTCCTCCCATCTGCCTCCTGTCTTTCTATTTGTGTATGTGTATCTATGGGTGTGGTGCTCACTGACTCCTTACCTGTGCAAACAATTTAGTGAGATCTATTTTCAGAAACAGAATATTGCTGTCATAATTGTATATTTGTTACCTTAAAACATGCCCTCCATATCTGCACAGGAAATGGATCCAGTCACAATGACTCTTACACAGAAAAGAGGAAAAAAACAAGTCAGGCCTAATGTGCTTCAGGATAAGATCAAGATGCTTATTGAAGCTTCTGTTTAGAAAAAAACCCTCCCTTTCAAACAAAAGAATGGAATTATTTTTTGCAATGATTGTGAATGTACATGTTTGAAATAAAAATGAACTAAACTGAACTGAACTTATTTGTAGAAGTCTTTTTTTTCTGATATCTGGCTGTGGCTCAGGTAGTAGAGCAGGTCAATCACTGATGTGTGTATGCTGAATAATTTTTGGATGAGATACTTAAACCCATGTTGCTCCTGTGAGCACATTAAGTTTAGCAATGTCTTTATGTATAGACAAAGCAGGACCACCATCAGCATGTTGTTTCTACAGTACCTAACTCATTATTCTAGCGTTTAGTAGAATATTAGATATGTTTTTTGTCCACTGCTTGTCAGCAGCTTTTAGTTTTTAATCTGTATTTTTAACTAGTAATTACTGACAGCACAACATAGTCTCCAGTGTAAAATCTTACAGCATTTCAGCTAAATCTGTATTCAACAATACAAAATAATCACTGTAAAAATAATTTGTTGGTGATTGTAATTATTCTACTGCCCACCCTGGTGTCGAAAGAATGCCTCCCCAATTTTTCTTTCAGCCTATTATTTACTTCAGTTTCCTGAAGTTGTTTTAATTTCTTGTTTGTTTACATGATTAAATGCCTTTAAAAAATATTCTACAGAGTATCATTATGTTGTAGCTGATGGCACAACAAGAAAGGAAAGAGAAAACATGATGATGAGGAAGACTGAGTATAAAACAAGAAATACTTGTGGAACAATCACTCAAGGTTCGTTGTGTTGCAATCATCCTGTGTGTCCAGTTTTTCTACTGCTTTGTTTTTGTTCATGGATCAGGTGTGTCCAACATTTTTCCATTATGTTTTACCAAATGTTTGATCCCATACATGTGTTTCATGCAAGTCACTTGTATCTATGATTAGTCTCTCTCTCTCTCTCTCTCTCTCTCTCTCTCTCTCTCTCTCGATAGATAGATAGATAGATAGATAGATAGATAGATAGATAGATAGATAGATAGATAGATAGATAGATAGATAGATAGATAGATAG